TAATCTTATAAATTATCTTTAATAACACTAATATAAACTTAATAAGAGCTAACTTGGAAGCTCAAATTTGACAGTTGTCACAGTCTCCCCCTGATAAAGAAATTTCGTCCCGAAATTTAATGACTGCTACTGCCAATGGATTTCTCTGCAAACAAATGCGGATATTTACTTTTCATGAAATCTTCTCGTTCCCAAATGTACTCTGGGCCATTTTTCGCATTCCAGCGGACCTTAATAATAGGGATTTTACTGCGCCTCAACCGTTTAACTTCTCGGTCCAGTATCTCGATTGGTTCTTCGACGAAGTGTAACCGATCGTTAATTTGAACGTCGTCCAGGGGTAACACTATTGTTTCATTCTTTAGGCATTTCTTCAGATTCGACACATGGAACATGTTGTGGATGGCGCTTAGATTTTGTGGTAACTTCAACTTGTATGCCACTGGTCCGATTCTTTCGAGTATTTCGAATGGACCAATGTATCTGGGACCCAGCTTGCCTTTCTTCCTGAAACATACTAGTCCCCTCCATGGCGATACCTTTAAAATTACTTTATCCCCCACTTGGAATTCTAACGGCTTTCTCCGATTATCCGCATAACTCTTCTGACGGTCTCTTGCTTTCTTGAGTCTCTCCTTGATGATTGCAATCTTGTCGGTGGTTTCCTGAATAATATCGGGCGTTGTCAACTGTCTATCTCCGATCTCTACCCAGCTAAGCGGCGATCTGCATTTACGTCCGTATAGAGCTTCGTACGGTGCACATTGTATGCTGGTGTGATAGTTGTTGTTATAAGAGAATTCAACAAGGGGAAAATGGGTATCCCAACCCCCACCAAAATCTATTGCACACGCACGTAACATATCCTCAAGCATTTGAATAGTTCTTTCCGATTGTCCATCTGTTTGAGGATGATAGGCGGTGCTATAATCCAAGCGCGTACCCAATGCCTTTTGAAGAAACTGCCAAAATCATGATGTTAAACGTGTATCTCTATTCGAATGAAATAGGCACACCATGACGTGTAACTATTTCATTGATGTAGATTTGTTCACGCCTTTCCTTGCTGAAATCTTCGCGAATGGGAATGAAATGAGCTGATTTGGTAAGTTGGTCTACTATAACCCATATAGTATCATGCCCCTTTCCAGTTCTGGGTAGCTTAGTTACGAAATCCATGGTTATTTTCTCCCATTTCCATTGGGGTATTTCAGGTTGCTGGAGTAGACCAGATGGTTTCTGATGTTCAGCCTTTACCTTGGCACAAGTCAGGCACTTGTTTACGAACAAAGCAATATCTTTCTTCATTCCTGGCCACCAATAATACTCTTTCAAATCCTTATACATTTTATCTGCTCCTGGGTGAATCGAATATCTGGATCGATAGGCTTCGTCCAAAATGGTTGATCGTAAGTTACCAACCTTTGGTATCCATACTTTATTCTGAAAGTAATGCACCCCATCTGCTTGCATTTCAAATATTTTCTCTAAGTGCTGCAAGGTTTCATTCTTCATGTTTTCTTCTTTCGGAGCTTCTCCTTGTGCTTCCAGAATTTGAGTATTTAAACTCGTCTAAACCATCATTCCCATAGCACGTGCTCTTGTCGGTTTTACCCTTTCCTTTCGACTTAAAGCGTCGGCTACTACATTAGTCTTGCCTGGATGGTACTTTATTTYACAATCGTAGTCACTAAGTAGCTCAACCCATCTTCTTTGCCTCATATTGAGCATTTTTTGGTCAAGAATATGTTGAAGGCTCTTGTGATCCGTGAAAATAGTGCACTTAGTACCGTAGAGATAATGTCTTCAGATCTTGAGTGCGAACACCACCGCTCCTAGCTCCAAATCATGAGTAGTATAATTCTTYTYRTGAATCTTCAGTTGTCTCGATGCGTATGCGATAACTTTTCCCTTTTGCATCAGTACACATCCCATCCCTTGATGTGAAGCATCACAATAGACTACAAAATTGTCTACTCCCTCTAGTAAGGCCATGATCGGTGCGTTACATAACTTGTGTTTGAGTGTATGAAAGGCTTCCTCTTGTTTCTCTCCCCAAATGAACTTCTTATCCTTTTGGGTTAGAGTTGTTAGTGGTTGCGCGATCTTAGAAAAATTCTCGATAAATCACCGGTAATAACCTGCCAATCCWAGAAATTGGCGGATCTCGGTTGGTGTCTTCGGGGYTTCCCATTTCTTAATGGCCTCAATCTTAGCTGGATCAACTTGGATTCCTTTTTCATTCACCACGTGGCCAAGAAAGTGCACTTCACGAATCCAAAATTCGCATTTAGAGAATTTGGCGTACAACTTTTCGTTTTTAAGCAATTCCAGTATCAGTTTTAAATGTTGCTCGTGCTCCTTTTTGTCTCGAGAATAAATAAGTATGTCATCTATAAGCACGATCATGAACTTGTTTAGATACGATCGACATACTCTATTCATCAAATCCATGAAGACTGCTGGTGCGTTTGTTAGACCAAAAGGCATAACTAGGAACTCGTAATGACCGTTTCGAGTCCTAAACGCCGTCTTGGGAATATCCTCTTCTCGCACTCTCATTTGATGATATCCAGACCTAAGATCGATCTTCGAGAAGTATGTAGCTCCTTGAAGTTGGTCAAATAAGTCATCAATCCGGGAAGGGGGTATCGGTTCTTAACAGTTAACTTGTTGAGTTCTCTATAATCGATACACATTCGAAAAGATCCATCCTTCTTTTTGACAAACAAAACTGGAGCTCCCCAAGGTGAAGAGCTGGGTCTGATGAATCATATATTGAGTAAATCCTGAAGTTGTTCCGACAGCTCCTTCATCTCATATGGTGCTAACCGATATGGTGTTTTTGCCACGGGTGCAGCCCCAGGAATTAGTTCTATGTGGAACTCAGCTTGTCTTGGTGGGGGTATTCCAGGMAATTCATCTGGGAATACTTCGGGAAAGTCCCGAATTATAGGAATATCTTGAACTCGTTTTTCTTCAGCTTTCTTATCCATAACRTGAGCTAGAAAGGCAATGCAGTTCTTTCTCAAATACTTTCACATTTTCAAACACGTCACTAGTTTAATACCCCTTCTGGGTTTCTCTCCGTGTACTTCGAGTATTCCCCCTTCGGGTAACGGAATTCGAACGATCTTCTCGAAACAACTAATTTCAGCTCGGTTCTTGGATAACCAATYCATGCCCACAATTATGTCAAAACTTCCTAGTTGAATCGGGATTAAATCTATACAAAAATCCCCACTAGTCAAGTTTAAAGTGCAATCCATTATTACGTCTTTGGCCTTACACTCTTGATCGTTGGCATATTCAATGATATATGCTTCTTTCAACTTTTGAGATCTTATATTTATTTTTGGTCTAAAATCTAATGACACAAAACTCCTATCTGCTCCAGAATCAAATAGTACAGATACATAATGATTATTTAAGAGAAACGTACCTGTAACTACATCTGGACTCTGCCTTGCTTCCTCAGCCTCAATCTCAAACACTCGGCCTCTTGTCGGACCTCCTTGATTCCCTTGATTGGCTGATCATGCTTGGTTAGTGTTCGGTCTCTGGTTCCATCGTGGACATCCATTCCGAAAAGTGATCTGGGCTTCCACACTCGAAACATGCCCGCCTTCCAGTGCTCCTGCAATCTTTGGCATAGTGACCTCCTTTGTTGCATTTTTGTCAGATAATACATTGTCCGTCATGCTGTTTATTGCACTTCTCACACTTTGATAAGTTCTTTTCTTCTTCTCTGCCGATTGGGTCTGAATCCCGTAGTTTCCTGATATTTTCAGAGCCTTTCCCATTCTTCCCCCAGACTGCCTTCGTGTAGGTTCCTCCATCTTTCTCTTCCCTGAAGCCTTATCTTTTACAAACATTCCCGAACGAGTAGCATTATTGGTGAGTTTGGTTGCCGAACTTACTGCCTCTTGTAGGGATTTTGGGTTTGCCGCAGTAACATCCCCGCGTATCACCGGAGATAATCCCCAAATATATCTATCAACTCGATTCTCTTCAGGCGTCACTAGATGCRGTACCATTTTTGCCAACTCATGAAAACGTGCAGTATAAGAGTCTATATCATTTCCTCTCATTTCATGATTCCATAATTCGGCTTCCAGTTTCTGGATCTCGCTTCTTGGACAATATTCTTCTTTCATCATCCTTTTAAAATCTTCCCACGTAAGACCGTTGGCGGCTTCTCGGCCCCGAGTTTGTACTTGGGTATTCCACCAAGTTAATGCTCGTCCTTGTAATAGACATGTAGCAAACTCTACTTTCTTCCCTTCGGTACATTTGCTAATATGGAACACAGACTCCATGCTCTCTAATCAAGTCAGTAATCCCACGGCTCCCTCAGTACCGTGAAATTCCTTCGGATTACAACTCCTAAAGGATTTGTACGTACATTTTCTATTTCCCGATCCTTGATTGTTGTTTTGATTATTATTCAGGCCAGCTGCCACTTGGCTAACAATGTTTGGAAGTGCAGCCATGAGTTGCTCGGATACAAGTCGTGCAACTTCGGAATCATCCCTTCTCGGAGGCATTGTTCTAAAACAAAATTTTTAAATTGGGTTTTGGTCAACTTAAGTTACTATGGCCATAATAAATCTACTTGCTAAATTATACATACCTTATAACATACATCTAACATTATTCATGAAAACATATAATCCAAAACAACATGCGATAAATAGATAACATGCATAAATTTTCATAAATAGCCAAAGCAAACCAAACATAAGTTTTAAAATATAACCCAAAAGACATTAAATTGTTTAAACTTAAACATATAGGCTACAAGCCCCAAAAGAAGATATTATCCACCCAAAAGTTTCAAAATAACGGGAGTTCCCTAACTCATTAACACCCTAATCAATATCCCTATCATCATCACCAAAGCTCCTACCGCCCAAAACAAGTACGCGTACAATCTTCGATTTGCCCTCCTAGTCTCGAAAATGATCTCCATAATCCCCATCGTAAGATTATCCTGTGCGAGCAAGACTATAAAAATGTCGTCTAAGGACTACTGGATGTGATCAAGTGTACGACGGTGGGACTGTAACTGACTGCTCAAGCCTGAGACCCAAAAGTTCTACGTTGCAGTCATGCCCCGAGGCTGTGGCATAGAAACTCCAATTGCTGGGAGAGGAGGGGTCATGCTCCGTGATCGGGACTGCGATCCGGCTGGCTCTCTAAGAGGCTCGGAGGGAACTGCGATAGTCACCCTCCTGGGAGGGAGAACACACTTTCGAGGCGGTTCTCATGATCCTAGGTCCTCGCGATGGACCATTCACATCGACCGGAGGTGGCGTAGGTACAGATGATTCAACAGAAGTCTCTCGGGTGGCCACGTCACTTTCCTCGGACGGGTCACTCTCCTCACGGTCGGGTTGGTTTCTCCTAGGGAGGCTGGTAAAGTAACCGGATTCGTCAGGGCAGTGCTCGGGGAGTGAGGATGAGTGAGACATTTTTAAACTGTGACGGTAACAAATTTAATTACTAACTGTGCTTAAGTAAATAATAATTCCTAAAATGAAAATACTCATGCAAGTCACAATTACGCTTTTCCTTTGAGCAAGAAATTTTTATTTTAGCCGACTTCCAATATAATTGTTCCTTGTCCCTCCTTAAACATATTAAATTAGACATAGGTGATCAGGCTTTGCCTAATTATAATACGCTAAGTCAACACTTAGTCCAATTATACTAGTAGTAAGCTAAATTAGTTTAGAATATATATATATATATATATATATATAAATATATTTAAATCATTTGGTTATAGTATTTGGTTTTAATAGAAAACCGGTGTTCTTTATAACCTATGGCTCTGATACCAAGTCTGTCACACCCCGCTAAAGCGGAAACATGAGAAGTGATAGTTCAAGATTTCACAGCGATAGGGCGAAAACAACACCAATTGTCCATTCAAATACATAACATATAAAGTCCGAAATTACATCATACAAGTTCAAAGTTTTAACAACATGGTGTAAGCAAAGTTTTCAACAAAAATATTTCAAAAAAAAATGGTTGATGTTGTTGCGCCCCGAACATAAACGATATCAGTTAACCTTTCTTACCCCTGAAAAGCATAATAAAACAAGGTCAACTACAAAGAGCTGGTGAGTTCACAGGTTTTCAATATCACAAACCTCCTTTTTGCATAAGCGAATATGAGCAAATTAAATTTTTAATGGCACTTGATTTACTTTGAAGGAAAATCTTGGATTGTTCAAGGCAATTTGTACTCTAATTTTAAGTATATAAAGAGCCACCACTAAACCTTTCGACCCCATAAAACTGTTTTTAATTCTACCTTAGCGGTGGGACTAAAACCCCACATATGTAGAACCTTCATTTTTAAGTATAGTGCACTCTTACCTGTAGTTTCTAGGTGGGATTGCTATCCACACCCCTACTTATCGGTTTTTAGGTGGGATTGTCCGTCCAAATAGCGCTATCCACAAATACCCTCGGCTCCTCACTTGAGTTAGTAGTAGTGTATAAACTTTTCTGTTACATTTTACTCAATATAACTTTTAGTGTACATGCCTTAGTGCCCATAACATGAAATTAACAAAATTTCATATTCATAATGAAAATAGCTCATATAACACATTCAATCATGCTTTTCACCCCAAAACGTAATAAATACTTTGAACGAGGGGTTGTGAATACTCACTCTTTTGCAAAGCTCCGCTAATCAAAAACACGATCCGGTCCCCACACGTTGGCTTAACGTTTCCCTATCAAAGAGGAATATCCAAAACCGTCACTTATGGGTTTAAAACTACTTATGGGGATTAATAAGTTCTAAGTCTATAATCGTCTACATAAGTCCAACTTGATTATCTAT